GGTTGGAAAGATGTCTACCTGGATTTTTCACATGGTCCCTTCAGTAGAGCAAACAGGCACTGTTTTTAAGTTTTTCTCAAACTAGGTAGAGTCTAAACTCACCATGTTGCTCTTCTGGTTTATTAACAAAATCAGTAAGATAGCAGAGAGATCTGTCATAATCTGCTCCTATGACTCATCCTGTGGGACTTCTCTGTCCTCTCTCCTAAGAAAACTTAGATGCTAGTTGGGTGACCAGCCACTTGCATGAAAGAATCAGCTGAAACCATTTAGCCTTTTGCTCTCAGCATCTGCAATAGGTTGGTGGTGAGGTTTGTGGAGTACGGTGGAGAATGCTGGCTAGGGGTCCCAGGCTTATTTGAGGTCAGAGACTTGCTGCCAGCACGTTGCAGCCCCAGGATTTGAGTAATTTAAATAAATTAGCATGCGTTTTGCATGCATTAAGTGATTGTCCTCTCACCTTCTCAGTTAGGTGTATAGAAATTGCTGACTGATAAAATGCACTAGCGGCAAAAAGCTGCCATTAGCCAGCGTTATCTCTGGTCTGGACGTACAGGGAGAGTGTGTCTTCAGGAAGTGCACGGTAGGCACAAACTGCTTTCTTCCTTCCAGCCATGGTGATGCAAGGGTTTGGGATTGTGGGAGCAGGGGTGGGATGGTATCTGGGTCATCAGGTTTGAGAGAACTTTGTGGCTGGGGAGAGTTGGTTCTTCATTTTACAGCCAATATCCCTGTAGTTTCCCATCCTTTTTTTTCTTGTCTCTGTCTCCTTGTCATGCTCTCAGCACATACCAGGTCATTGTGGAGGAAGACAGGCCCAAGAAGATGAAGAGGGAGTTGAGCGGGCAGGAGTGCTTCCCGGTCCCACTGACGTACGATGATGCCATGTCCCGGGGCTCCGTGCATTACTTTGGGGCTGAGCTGCCTCCCAGCAGCCTCACCGAAGCCAAACCTTTCACTGTTGGGGACAACCAGACGTACAGTGGGTACTGGAATCCACCACTGGAGCCCAAGAAGGCTTATCTTATCTACTTCCAGGCCACAAGTAACCTGAAAGGGGTGAGTAGCTGATGGCTGGGACCAGTGCCATGGTGTCTCTGAGCAGCCAGAAGAGTAGGACATTCATTTGATGGGTGATGGGATCTGGTGTGCGTCCTTTCCAGGGGAATGCATGGGGAATGGGAGACATCGCAGGTCAGAATTTTAAGAGTCATTTTCGGAATCTGTGCTCCCCAGCTGCAGTGCCAAACACTACATCTGTTCACTCTTAGGGAAAGTAGCACGTGTGTCAAAATACACACGCAACAGAAAACCGAGGAGGCTTGCTTGATGGTTCTGTTTCCCATAATCAGCCTGAGCCAGTCTCAGCAGTCTCCATGTATTTCACTGTTTTTTCATACTGTGTTGATTAGGTGGCTTGTCATCTCTGTGCCTGATTTTACTGTTACTGGGGTTGATGAAAATTTTGCTATTGGCTTCAGTGGAATTAGGTTCAGTCCCTATATAGATACATATATGTATTAACCTTACTGCCAGAGCTGGAGGGCAGGAAAATGTCAGATCTTACCCCCAGATCTCAGTTCTGCCATCTGATCCCCACAGACGACCTTTAGCCTTAAGTAGGATGGCACTGATGTGAAAGAGCGAACACACTGTCATATAGAGATGGGCATCAGGGAGCTGATTTGGAGTCCAGGCATGTTGGTTATTGGGGTTCAGATTGTCCGAGCTGTCTAAGAGGGGGGCTGAGATGTCCAGATCATGATGGCACCTTTGAAAAGCCCACCCTCCAATGCCACATGTCAGTGCAGTGTAGGTATAACTTCACTGGCTTTGTGCATGCGAGAGCTTTGATGCTGCACGTTTCCTTCCAACTTGCTTCCCAATGTGGGAGTTGCATTTCAGGACTCCAGCATCATGTGATAACACTGCAAACACAGCTACTCCCTGGGAGAGGATGAGAGAATGAACCGCACATGACAGTGGTTAGTCACGTCACTTGACACAGGAGTGGAAGCTGCTGAGACATGAGAGGGATCAGGATGATTTCAGAGCACATGAAGAATAGCGTCAGGTTGCTTGTAAACCCCGTTCTAATGCAGGAATCACACCAGTCACTTGGAACGGAGAGCACAGACAAAAGGCAATATTGCCCTCCTAAGCTGTTGCCAAGTCTGAATTTGTATTTTGGTTGCTGTCAGTATTTTGTGAGTCAGTCACTCGATAGGACTAAAATTTTAAAAAGATAACACGGTTTGCTTCATAACTTTTACCAAAGCCTGGCAGGTTGTTCAGACAGGAGCTGCGTTCCCTGAAGCCCGCTGTGCTTCATCGCTTTGGCTGGATGGCAGCTTCCTGCAGGAAGATGGACTGTTATTTGGGCTTCTACTGATAGCCCTTAAAAAAATAAGTAGATAAAGCCAGGCCCTCCCTGCCACCTTGAGTAGCTCCTTGATGCCCAAACAGCTCCACGTTAGACTGGAGCGAATGAGAAGTGGGAGCCTCCCTCTATTTGTGGTTTTGTGCTATTTGCTATGCCTGTGCAACAAAATGGCTTTCCATGAGTTACCCAGTTACGTTTCTGGAGGGAAATCTCAGCAGGATAAGAAAATGCTTCTGTGCCACTGTACAGGGAGGGGAGCAGAAAGGATTGCCCTGTATATATTGATGCAGAGTTGACCAGGAGATCTTCACTGGGTGATGCTGCCTGCCTGGGGCTCCATGGTAGGTATTGCATCTCATTGGGTCCCCTCATCTTCCAACACAAGGAGACAGGATTCCCCAGGAGGTGTTTGTGGGTGGGAAGAGGCAGGCATAGAAGCAAGAATCCCTGCTCTGCTGGTCTTTCTGGATATATACAACGAAGCATTTAGCACTGGGGCCTTCTCTAGGCTCCCTTCTCCCCAGTGGCCACCAAGGTTCTCCTTGCAGGTCTTTCTCTGACGCTTTCCAAGATGCATACAGCTGGCTTCGCTTTGACTGCCCAACTTCATTGCAGAGGCAAATAAGCTCCGACTAACCCAAAGTTCTGTTCCCCATCTTGGCTAATTTCCTTCAAAAAGATGGTGGGAAGGACTGGAGCTCCCTCAAGAGATCCTTGTCATCTTCACGTGCTCTAGTAGCTCCCATCCTATCTGCCGGGGTATGAACTGTCAAGCCTGAAGGGACAGGCTCCAGTAGCAGCAATAGCAGGTGTCTCTCTCATCTAATACTGGCTCTGAGCAGGCAGATAACTGGCATGGTGTGCACAAAGCTGCTGTCTAGTTGAAGTATGGATGATAGCTGACAGCTTCCTTCCTTGTGGGAAGGTGCCGGCAGTCAAAGCTGTCCTTCCAAGGATTTGTTCACACCTTGTTAGGTTGTTGTTAGGGCTGTGACAGGCAGACTCTTCTCTCTGGTTCTCTCGAGTCCCACTCAGTCATGACTGACGGTGGTCACCATCTCCTGGTCTGTCTACAAGTAGATAGTGGTCTAAGCCCAGCTCCTGACTGATGCCATGAAGATCCAGCATCGCAGCTCAGGGTTTGTTTGTCCTTCTCACCATAGGGCCCATGAGGCACATTAATAGGGCAGTGTGAGTGAAGCATGCTCTTCCTCTGCCAGTGAGGGGTATGTTATGTGGGTAAATGTGATTCTCATCTGATATAACTCTGTGGACATAGATGAAACTATGCTGATACTCCCCATCTGAAAACCCAGCCAGTACCTGCAAAGCCTGTTGGGCTGGTGCCTTTTGTCTGCACAAAACTCTTGATAAATTAGAGGCATTTCAATAAAGAGCGAAGGAAATGATCAGTTTTTCTCTGATACAGTTTTGGAGGAAAGACCAAAGCATCCCTCTAATATGACATCACCTGCACACAGTGACAGCTGAGGCTGGCTGAGCAATTGCTATAGGTGGTAGATGGAGTGGGGGCAGGGGCAGGCTAGCACTTTCCCCCAGTTACGAATTTGAGAAACATTCAGGATTTTTTCATGCCATTTTTATTTTTCTTGACAGAAATTGGAATATTAAAAATTTTGAAATATTTAGGCCTGAGCCCTCAAGTCCCGCTGAAAGACCAAACTGGAGCTCCTCACGAGGTATCATGGCAGCATATGAGAATTTCGAAATTGCCATCAGAGAGACATCTTTGTGAAAAATGATGCTTAGTTCAAATACCATAGAAAATGTTTGTCCAGCCCTGCTGTCCAAAGGCTGGTATACGGTTATTCCTCTTTGCCCTGTTGCTTTTGGAGCCAGGCCTGGGTAATTCCTTCCTATTGACAGCAGTCAGAAACCTAAATGACAGGTCACTTAAATCAGAGGGGGATGTGTTTCTTCCTGGGTCCCTTCTAGTCCATCCCTGGGGCTCATCACGGGGGTTTTTGTGCTCCAGAGCTGTCTGCAGCTCAGTTTATAGGCCTTTGTTGAACTCTGAACTGAGACCCAGCCAGTGCTTGGTTTAGGGCAGGCTGATGGATGGACAGTTCAGTACTGATCATTGTAGTCCATCAGGGCTGTCCCTTTGGCTTTGGACAGAGTATCAGTCAGAAGAGCAAACATGGTTCATGTAGAACATTATCCCAGGTACAAATTTTCAGTAAACTGACCAAATTTTGTTCTAGCTTCCCCACCGAGAAGCATCCAGTGATCCCTCTCTTGCATCCTGGTTGAATCTCCAATCTTTTTTCTCTCTGCAGGAAACCAGGCTGAACTGTGTTCGGATTGCACGCAAAGGTAAGATCCTAGCTGGGCCTCCTGCTCCTCTCGGTATAGTTCTTTGCTCCACTGAGGCTGGGTTGTCATTCTAGGGGGTCTCTTGAGATCTGGGTCGTACTTTGTCATTTGCTATTACAAGATGGCTGTTGAAGGCTGGCATTTGTATGCACACCGTTTCATCATGTTGCACTTGAATTCCAGGCTGTGAAGAAGGGTTCATTGTTGCCAGGTTGCTCTTGCTTCTGACAGTATTTTAATTTGAAGGTCGTTATAATGGTAACCCGCAGAAGCCTTGTCGAGCTCAGGGCTCTGTTCAGGTAGATTCTGCACATATACCCAGTGAGAGGCAGCTCCAGCCTCAAAGACCTTCCAATCTCAGCAGATGAGAAGAAGTAGGATGGAGGAAGGACAGTTTTATTCCCATTTTACAGGTCAGGAGCTGAAAGATTAAGTTAGGCACCAGAGGTGACATATAGTTTATCTCAGAGGAAGGAGTTGACCTCTGACCTCCTGGGTTCCTGCCCAGTGCCCTATTCACAAGCCTAAATTTTTTGGACTAAGACTCGCATAAAGGAATTATGTGGATCCTTTGGGGGGAAAAAAACAGGCGGGGAGGAAGGCACGTTGAATTTTAGACCTTGTCAGCATGCCTTTAATGCATCAAATACAGCAATTGATCTCGGCTGGTATAAACCGTAGACATGCTTGGCATTTATATAGTCCAGGAGTGAGATTAGCCAGGGTAATTGTGTGGCTGGCAGTCCTGGGGGGCCCCTCCGGCGAGTGAAATTGGTTGAGGTGGGGAGATTTGTATTTCAACCTTTCTCTTTTGCTCCAGGAATTTCAACAAGTAACTAAATGGTTTGGACTTTCAGGGGGATTGAACTTTTGTGGCCTTGTGTATTTAATAAAATTCCTCGTGCTTGACTAATATATTTAGCTCCCTATTGGACCCAGGGAAGGGGAAAAAAATGTAATAAAGTGACTTAAACTCCTGGCTCAGTGGGAAATGAAAAATGGGCATAAATGTGTGTGCAGCTACTGCAGAATATTAAAAAAGGACAAAAGGGATTTATAAACCAGCTAGTGTTGGAATTATGCAGAGATGGGCTAAAAGCCAGGCATCCATTGGCACTGTCTTGGGGGTTAGCTCTGAGCTGGGATACCTGGGCCTGGCACTTTATGCATCGGCTATCATACCAGAGCCATGCCCACTTCCTTGAACAAGACAGTAACCCCAGTGATATTGCCCAGTCAGAGTGCACCAGTGGGACATGTGGGCACGGCAGGATCGGAGGACACTGGATTGTGCTACAGACTTAGAGAAGGACACAACTCTTTTGTGCCACGGAGCAGTGTGCAGCCTGAGGGCGAGTAGACAGGTGGCGGGGGGAGGGAGCTGCTCATCTCAAGCTTGCTGTAGACACCCCTTTCCCACCCTTGCCTCTCCCTTGAAACCCTGTCTCCTTTCTTTCCCTTTCTTTCCTTTTCCAGTGAGTGAATGTGATGGGGTGGGACAGATAATGGGGAGCTGGGCACAAAAAGCCTCCACTCCATTGGCCCTGCCATTCAGCTGCTAGCAAGACCCTTGCTGAGTTTGTAACTTCAGTGGGGCTGTCCTGGCATGAACAGGGTGGGAGTATGGGGGTAGCTCGCCAGTTAGCAGCCTGAGTAGCACTGGCAGGGTTTAATGGTTGGGACCTGCAAGTCTTCAGAATAGAAGGGGAAGGAATTAGTGGCTGGGTAAGGGATAAGCACTGGCTCCTGGGGTAAGAGAGGTACCTAGCTTGAGTCTGGGGAGTGTCATCTCTGGTAGTTGGGGGCAGTTGCAGCATGTATTAGTTGGGCACAGGGCTTAATCTGCTCCCACAATTAGATTTTAGTCTTTGCAGAAGACTTCTTCCCCATTTTGCGGCTTAATTCTATGTTTGAATTGATTAAACCACCCTTGGAGGAAACATTATAAATGAGAGTTGATTTACAGGCAGACTTTTAACCGCATCCTGAGGCTGGGCACTATTCCTCTGTCTCCCCTTTGGATGCCTGCTTTGTACAGGTTTATTAATAATCCTCATTATCATTATAACACTATTTATAAAGCACCCTCTGCCCCTGCCAAGGCACTGCATGAAAATGCAATCATTCTGATAAAAAGCAAGAGTTAAACCATCATTAGTTGCACAGTAGGCAAACCAGAATGGGAGAGCCCTGGAGGTGGGGGGCATGCATATGGGGGGAGGTGTGGGAAACACGACATGTATGTAATGGTGTGCATACAGTGTGTGCAGGGTGGAAGTGGGTATGGGTGTGGGGAAGAAGGATGTGTACATACAGTGTGTATGCAGGGAGGAAATGGGCGTGAATGTGGTGTGTGTGTATATACACACGTGCATTTGTGCGTGAGGGTATTTATGTGTTTGGGTAGGATTGTCTGTGTGTGCAGGGGCGCTACAGTGGTTCATATACTGTTCTTTGAGAGCGAGGAGGAACAGGCTGGTGTTGATGGCAGCATGACGATTCCCTTTTGGATAGACACCTCTGCTCTCCTCTTCTGTATCTTTTTTATGGCTTATAAATGCTGCTTTATGCCTGGGAGGAAGGCCATCTCTGCAAAGAGATGCACAGTGCAGTGCTTCAGGGAGCAGTGCTCCTGTTAATTACTCTTTACTGCCTTCACACAACAATGGAACAGATGGGCGCAATGGAGGAAGGGGGAGAGGGGGGCTGCATGGGCCTCTTACCTGTATTTGCCAACCATCCTGGCAGGGCCAATTTCTTGGCCTGCTAACTTATAATAGTATCTCTTTAAGCCACACAAACAAGGTGAAAAGAGGAGTCCTTTGGAGGAGGGAAGCCAGGCCAGACTAGGTCAGACTGCTATCTCATGACCAAGATGTCCCCCATCTGCATCGTAGAGTGAAGGCAGCAGCAAGAGTCTTAATCCTGCACAATCATCATCATCTCTCTGTGGCTTTAAAGGTAGTGTAGAGCAGGCTGCAGGGCTAATGTGCCAGCTTGCCCATCATACTGAGGGACTGTGGAGTCAGACCTCAAGGGAGCTGAGGCAGAGAAGGGAAGGTTAATCAGAAGAGAGAGCACCTTTCAGCACCCAGCATGCAGGGAGGTCACCCGCATTGGAGAGGACGGGGAAATGCAAAAGAAATTCCCTTAGAGATTTGCTTGACTTGTCCGTTTTACCTGTCCTCTTAGTGCATCTGCCCACCCCTTCCACAGAGCCCTTTCAGCTCAGTTGCCCTCTAATCTGGGTATCCATCCACCCAGCTCACTGCCTAATCCAGGGGTGTCCAACCTGCGGCACACATGCCATTAGTGGCACAGGCAGCCTCTGTGTGTGGCATGCAGCAGATTGGAAGGGAGCAAAAAGCAGACTAGCAGCCCAGGCAGATCGGCTTGCCAAGCAGGTTGGCCCATGATGACCTATATCCTCCACCGACCCTGTCCACCTTGTCCTTTCACAGAGCCAGTCCACTCAGGCCACCCACCAAAACTTCTTATCCATCCAACTGTCCACATGCCCTACCTGTCCATCTAGTTTGTGTCCTCTTTCTGGTGTGCCTGGCAGTGCACTGGCCATGCCTCTGCTATCTCTGTTTCCGTCAGCAAATGCCTGAGAGTGAATTTCCTCAGCATGGGCATGGGCTCTCCCAGAGAACAACTTCAGCGATGCACAAGCAAGTGCTGGCTCAATGCAAACTCATGACTTGCACGCTTAGGAACTTCTGCCCGACGTACCTCTCTTCTCCTTCTGTTTGCGAGTTTAAATAATTTGATGTGACCCTCCCCCAGGCTGATGCAGTGCCATTGAAAGGACCTCACGCTCAGCTCACTGGATTGGGAGGGATCCGTAGAGGAGATGGGGATGGGGTGAGCGGAAAGGAGACGAAGAGCTGCGGCTCATTTCTGACCGCCTTTGGCTGGATGAGAAGTTTGATGGGGTTGCTCTTTTGTTTGATTGTTTGTTTGGATCAGGACATTAAGCAGCCTCATTTAATGTGGGGATTAGATTGGATTGTTTGCTAGAACATTAAACAGGTGTTGAACCCATTTGTGCAAGGACATTTCTTTCATGGGTGTCAAGCAGGCTGCTTGCTGCTGGCTGGGGAGAGCATGCACTTTGCCACAGGTATGCTTCCTGCTGTGGCCTAGCTGATTAAAGACTCTTCAGGGTACTGCAAGCAAGACCTGTGCCTACCTCAAGGGGTGGTGGCTGGAGTCATTCATTCCCACTTCTGGATGCACAAGGCACTCAGCCCCACCCCTTTGAAATCCCAGAAGGAGAGTTCAGATCTGTAGGCAACAGGAAACTAATCACAACAATGTCTGAATAGGCACTACAGTGTGCGCGCACATGTGTGTGCGAGTATAAATCCTCTGCTCCAGTGGTTCTTAAGCAGGGTGCTGCAGCACCTGGATGTGCCTTGATGTGCTTCCAGGGGTGCTACAGGGTGCTATGTGATCTTAGCACTGTTAGGCGTGCAAGCATGATTCGCAAGATGCTTGCCTAAAGATTTCACACAGGAATCCATAGCAGTAGAAGCATTCTGACCTGCTGTGATCTTTCTGAATTCTCTGCACTAGAAGAATTACAACATTACTTTTTGCTAGTCAGAAATCCAAATGAAAACTAAGAGCCGGCATTTGAGTCTAAAAAGTGTGAGAATCACTGCCCTACTCCGACCACTCTGCTGGAGTTGAGTGTGACCCTTAATACTGGTGCGTGACTGCAGATGTCTGTGAGGGTTCATTTGGTATGTGCACATTACCTATTCCTGCAAGGGAGCTTTAGTGTGTGTGTGTGTGTGTGTGTGTGTGTGTGTGTGTG